GCATTTCTTTTAAGGCTAGTGAGGTTGAGCATTTCTTCATGTATCTATTGGCCATCCTACTTTCCTCTTCAGAGAGATTCTCTTTAAGTTTTTAGTCCACTTACCTATTGAGCAGTTGTTTCTTTGAGGATTTGTTGTTGAGGGATTTAATTTTTTGAATTCCAGGTATATTTTAGATATGAGACCCTTGTCCGTTTTGGCTAGTGAAAGTTATGTCGAAAAATGGTCTTTCCAACTTTGGCGGGTGGTGGGGGGAGGAGAGGGGAAGGGATGTTAAGGGGAAACAAAGAAGGATGTAACAATGCATGTACCTCCCCCCCCCCAGTATAACCCCTCCTTTCACTGTATTTGATGTTGGCATAATTTGTGGAGGGGAAGGACAAAAATAAATTGTTTAAATAGGGATACAGGTGGACCCATTTCAACAATGAGATATACAAGAAGTTAGGTCGAAAATGAACTTTACAAGTTTGGCTGAGGCGGGAATGAGAGGGAAGGGAGAGATAGAGGGGATGGGAGATGGGGAGGGATGGGAAGAGGAATCAAAGGAGGAGGCAACTATGCTTAATGTGAAATATAATCATTACCTTGTCCATGTAATTGTACCCTCTCCAAATGGTATTTTCACAATAAAAAAATTATCTGAAAAAAATGGTATCAGTTGATAGTGCATATGATTTTATTGTTCATTACAAAGATAATGTAGTAAAAATTTTCATAGCAATTACATTGCACTAGGTTGTGGGCAGATTCTAATGTAAATAATATATTGTGTTCATGTAGACAGTTTGAGTATCCAAAGTTTTTATATGCCTGTGGCCCTTAAACCACTGATATTGAGTGACAAATGCAATTTCCTATCAGTAAAGAAGTTTTCCTTGTATCTTTTCAATATGTATTTTTATTGTAAAGATCCTGTGCAGAGGGGTAACAGTTACATAAGTAAGGTAATGAGTACATTTCTTATTCACCATTGTTACCATCTCCTTTGTTTTCCACTACCATCTCTTCCATTCATACCTCCCCAATTCTTCCCTTCATCCACCCCCTTTAATAGAGTGTCTTGTACATCTCATTGTTACAATGGGTCAACCTGTATTCTTTCCTTGTATCTTAAATGCAGAAATGCTGGCTTGTTTCATGCTGATTCTACTTGTGTAGACACACCTAAAGTCACTTGCCAAGTCCAAGAGTACATAAATAAAACGCACAACATTTATTTTAATTTCTTTTTTTTATTGTGAGAATACCGTACAGAGGACTTACAATTACATGATAACGAGTATATTAATTATCAAGCATTGTTGCCTCCTCTTTGTTTCCCCTTTCCATCCCTTCCTATACTCTCCCCCTCTCCCCACCTGATCCTCCCCCCAGCCCTCACCAAAATTGTAAAGTTTGTTTTTCAACATAAAAACTTGAACATCTCATTGTTGCAATGGGTCCACCTGTATCACTATTTAAACAATTTGTTTTTTCCCTTCCCCTCCACAAATTATACCAACATCAAGTACAGTGAAAGCATGGGTTATACCGTGGTGGAGGGACATACAAAGCAACAAAGAAATCATCTTAAAAATATGTTAGAAACAATTGCATGAAAGAAAAAAAACAAAAAAATTTGAATCTTTATCTTGGGGTTCATTCCCATAACATCAACTTATCTGAATTTTTCTGCTTTACTCAGACATATACTAGTTATTGCAAATAAGGGAAAACATGGGACCTATGTTTCTTTCGGCCTGGCTTACTTGACTTAATATAATTTTTTTCCAAGTCTTTCCATTTCCTAACAAATGGGGCAATGTCATTCTTTCTGATGGAGGCATAGAATTCCATTGTATATATATACACTACATTTTCTTGATCTATTCATCTAGTGAGGGGCATCTGGGTTGGTTCCCTATCTTAGCTATCTTAAATAATGCTTCAATAAACATAGTCGTGCTGGTAGCTTTAGTATGGTCTTGTTTGTGATCATTTGGGTAAATTCCCAAAAGTGGGATAGCTGGGTCATAGGGTAGCTCTATGTGGAGATTTTTGAGGAACCTCCATATGGCTTTCCAGTATTTGAACAAGTTTACACTCCCACCAGCAATGCAGTATGTTTCCCACATCATTTTTTTGAGTTGATATAATAGTGTTCTACACATTTATAGACAGGTTACAAATTATTCTCAAATTTTAATATATTAAAAATACTTTCTTATTTTCTTGGCCAGGAAATCAGCAAGACCTCAATCAGCATTTCTCACATAAGACTTTTCACATGGGTTGGTTAAATGTTGACCTAAGCTCCAAACTTCTGAGGACTCACTCATCTGCTTAGGAATTGATGCTGGCTGTTGGATGCCATTTAAGTCCATAGAACTTTATTCTTTTCCAGGGTATTCTCCATCTACTTTGGTTGTTGAGAAGGTCTACAAGAGCAACCATTCTGTTGGGAGCAGGGAGACACCATATGATTTTTACTTACTGAGATTTCTGAGTGACTTGCTGTCACTTGTATTGCATTTTACAAGTTGAATCTAGCAAAACCTACCAGCTTTAAGAGATAAGAGGAGTGGTAAAAGAACTTTTGGAGACAAACGTATCTTCAACATTATTTTGTTCCAAGCATTCCCTCTAAGGCATATTCAACAAGTAGTGAAACTAGTGTTGGCTGTATCTATGTCTTTCTCCTTGTGTGCATGTGTACATGTATATATGTATGTGTGTATTTGTGTGTATAATAACATGCATTGTACATGTATAAGAGCATATACAGACATATATGCATATATAAATAAATATACATATATAAATATATTTGTATATATATATATATATATATATATATCAGTTGTTCAGTGATTTAATTTATACATCCCAGCACATTTCATTCTCACAAAGTGTACATGATAAACTGCTCTGAGGATCTGTGCTCTATGACGGGCATCCTTTGTGCTCACTTCCCCCCATCCTTGTGAACAACTTCGGCCTACTTTTCATAGGATAGATTTGTTTTCATTACATGTAGTTACTTACTGATAATAAAAAAGTTTCGTTTGTAAAAGAAAAAGTACTTATAGGTCAGAGGTTAAAAGTATCCTATCCGTCCCAATGATTCCTATGAGATAAAATTTATAATAGTATAAAAGTGAAAAGGAATTCCTAGATCTGGTTTTTTACCATTTAGAATAGAAAAGAATAATATCATTTCACTGTTATAATTCTTAAGAAATGTAAGGGTAACTGATGGTCCCTCTCATGTTCCCACAAAACCAGTGGATTCTGTAGGATTATAGTAGACCAGCAGAAATTCTAAGTAGCAGACATGGAGCATGAAAGAGAGGAAATGAGAGAGAGTTAAAGAGAGAGAAATATCATAATGCTGAAAGTGCATAACAGCTAAACAAGAGCTGTATGAGAATAATCATTTTGCGATCTTCAGACTCTTCATGTACATTTAAAGGTATTTGATGTATGATAAACCATCAACATGAAATATAAAGTCATTTTGACAAAAAATAAAAATGATTCAGAATTATAAATGCAAAAACAATCTTCACAGAAGCAAACTCTCAGAGATATTTCATGACTTTGAAAAGGATAAAGTGGCTGAAGTGAGTATAAATTTAGAAGTACGACAATTCACAAAAACATCAAAAGATATTCATATATTTCATTATACAACCCAAAGCAGAAAGCAAATGTTGTTTTGATGATTTTTTTTAAACACAGTTATCTCAGGTGCAGGGAAGATGGCTCAGTTGTAGAGTGTTTGCCTTGCATGCATGAGGCCGTGGGTTTGAGTCCTCAGCAGCACCACATAAGCACAAAAAGATGGAGTGGTGCTTTGTCTCAAGTGGTAATGCTAGCTTTAAGCTGAGGGACAGCACCCAGGCCCCAGTGTTCAAGCCCCATGACCAACAAAATCAAAATAAAAAAAACACAGTCTCACTTTTGTGGCCTCAACTCTGTAATACTGCTGCTTCATCCTAGGGCTAAGATTTTAGGTATGGACATTTTTCAACACTCCTGATTCAGACTCTACTTCATCATTTTTTTAAATAAATATTTTGTTCTTAATTTTCCTCTTTGTAAATTCACATGCTCCTATAAAAATGATTTGGCCATCCCAGTAACCTTCTCAAAGTACCTCCTAATGAGGACTTACAAAAAATAGTATTATAGTACAACAAGGAAAACAATACTACAAATAAGAAAAACCAATAATTAAATATTAATGAATAATAAAATAAAAAACAAAACAATTACCAGTGTTTTCAGTATTTGAAGGGTACTACCTATTAGATTTTACTATTTTCTCATATTCCTGTACATTTAAAACTGACTAAGATTATGATGCTCAACAAGAGTTTTATAGACTATGTGCAGTCTTTAAAGTTACCCACTAAGATTACTATTTATGGCTCATCTCATCATTTGTACATGGCTTATATCATCATTTGTTCCTCGCTAACATATAAAGTAAGGAAGAACTATTGTTTTAACAGAAACTGTAGTTAACAAAGTCTTAACTCTTTATTCTGTTCCTTTACACAAAGACTTTGCAACTTCTCATTAGTAAAGTTTCTATAAACTCTGAAATGTACATAATTAGTAGTATATGTCTGCTACCATAAATCTTAAATACTTTATAGAAAAGTATTATGACCTGACAAACAGTCCTAGTTTTTGCATATGTAAGTAAATTCCCAAAATTAAATATGTTTAAAACATTAAAAGTTTTATCAAATCTTAACACTTGCTGCTGTGTTCATTAGGACAGTTGCCTTGTATAGAATAATTGCATTCCTTCTCCTACACATATCTTGAACAACAAATATCTGGGATTATTTTGTTTTTGACATGTCAATCTTGACTTTATTCTTAAATGTGTGCTTATGTAAGGAATACATGTTTCTAAAAGTTCACGACGATTCTTTTAAACGTACTTTTTGTTGAATTATATAGTTTAATAAAATCAATTACACTTTATATATAAAAAGTTTTCTGTGCTCAATTCAGCATCACGTACACTAATATTGGAAAAATACAGAGAAGATTAGCATGCCCCTGCATAAGGATGACAGGCAAATTCCTGAAGCATTCCAGCAGATGCTGGAGGGGATGTGATCACAAGGGAACAGTACTGCATGGTTGGTGGGAGTGTAAACTTGTTCAGCCACTTTGGAAAGCAGTATGGAGGTTCCTCAAAAGACTCCACATAGAGCTTCCCTATGACCCAGCAATCCCACTTTTGGACATTTACCCAAATGATCACAAACAAGACCATACTAAAGCTACCAGCATAACTATGTTCATTGCAGCATTATTTAAGATAGCTAAGATATGGAACCAACCCCGATGCCCCCCAGCAGATGAATGGATATGTGGTATATATACACAATGGAATTCTATGCCTTCATCAGAAAGAATAGCATTGTCCAATTTGTTAAGAAATCAAAAGACTTGGAAAAAATTAAGTGAACTAACTAGGGCCAAAGAAACATAGGTCCCATGGTTTCCCTAATTTTCAATAACTAATATATGTCTGGGATAAGCAGAAAAGGTCAAAAGCTATCTGCATATGACCAAATAAGATGATGTTAAAGAAAATGAACCTCAAGATAGGAACACAAGTGTTTTTTTTTTCTTTATTGCTATTGTTTCTAACGTACTTATAATGTGTGATGTGATTTTTTTTTGTTTCTTTATATGTTCCTCCCCTATGCTATAACCCTTGTTTCACTGTATTTGAAGTTGGTGCACCTACACCTTGTATATACGCTCCTCTAATTTGGAGAGGGGAAGGAAAAAAACAAAATGTTTAAATAGGGATACAGGTTGACCCATTGAAACAATGAGATGCACAAGACACTATGTTAAAAAAAATGAACAATTTAGGCTGGGGAAGGGAAGAAGGGAGTGTGCTTGCGGAGGTGCGAGGGAAGTGATGGTAGGGGAAAAATAAAGGAGGAGCTAACAATGCTTGTTAGGAAATGTACTCATTACCTTGCTCATGTAAATGTGACTCCTCTGTACAGTATTTTTACATAAAAAACGTACAAAAATATTCGGAGAGGGAAGAGTTTATTTCCTTTATTTTACTCATAAAATATTTTTAACAAAGAAATTAATGCGAAACACTGATATGAAGGATTTTGAATAAATGTGTGTGTGTGCACGCGCATGCATGCACACAAACTTGCATGTGTGTTAGTATGCTCAGAATTTGAAATCAGAGCTTCAAGATCTGGCCAGGCCTATCCTTTCTAGATTGCTGATCTAATATATGAGCTACATCTCCATTCCTGGGCCTTTGCTGGTTCATTACAATTTTTGAAAAATAATCTCATGAATTTATGTTGCCCTGATTGGTTTCCAACTGTTATCCACAGATCTCAGTTAGGATTACAGATGTGACCAATCAAGACATGGCTTACAGAATTACTTTAAAAGTAGAAGAAAATTTACTTCACAGGGCCTGTTTCATTATCTCCTACTTTTAAAGCAATTTGGAGTGATTATGTGTGAATTTTTTCGGTTTTGGATTCTTAAAAAAGTAAGTGATTATATTTAAATGTTTTAGTACTTTTACAAAAGGAAACTGGAACTGTGGGACAAAAGAAATTTGCCCAGGGCTGGGAAGGTGGCTCAGTGGTAGAGCGCTTACCTTGCATGCATGATGCCCTGGGTTCAATTCCTCAGCACCACATAAGTAGAAAAAGAAAGCCAGAAGTGGCACTGTGGCTCAAGTGTTAGAGTGCTAGTCATGACGTAAAGAGCTGAGGGACAGTGCTCAGGTCCAGAGTTTAGGCCCCACGACTGGACGCCCTCCCCCCAAAAAATTGCCTCTCTTGTAAGCTCAGCTTTGTGCATGATAACCCAATATCACCAACACAGTCTGTGTTGAAGACAAAATGTAACAGAAAATAATAACCATGGGCAATAATTGCTATGCTACTATTTCTTGGACAATATGAATATTGAATTGAGAGTGTAAGAGAATGGAGAGATTTTACCCACATTTTTTGTATTGCTGAAAGACTTTTGGAAACTTTGACTCATTTCCTTCCTCACAGTGTGTCTTTGGGCCATGCTCTCACTGTCTTTAATTACAATTTTTCCCAACACTAAAATGGTAATAACATTAGCATTATAGCAAATGTTATCTTAAGAATTAAGGGGTCTGGGAAGGTGGATCAGTGCTAGAGCGCTTGCCTTGCATGCCTGAGGCCCTGGGTTCGATTCCTCAGCACACATAAGCAAAAAGAAAAAACCGGAAGTTGTGCTGTGGCTCAAGTGGTAGAGCGCTAGCCTTGAGCTGAAGAGCTGAGGGACAGCACCCAGGCCCAGACTTCAGACCCCACGACCGGACCCCCCAAAAAAAACAAAAGAATTAAGGGAAATAAAACTTGTGAAATACTTAACATAAACTTCTATGAATGAGCTTTGAGTTTAGCCAGCTGTTTTTTTAAAAAAATAATAATAAATAGAATACGATAAGTATTAAAGAAACCATTACATGTAGTGAACAACCAGAAGTAATGTTATCTATTGACCATGCTCTGATTCCAAGGAAGCCAGATGGATAACTTCCTATGCTGTAAATCAAACTAGTTATCTTAGGTCTTGATAGTGTAAAAATATTAGGGACAGAATAATCAAGGAATGTTGTAGACTGAGGTGAAGTCCATATGAAAATGTGCAAAACTGATAATACAAAATTATCTGAGCAATAATATTGTGATTTAGATCATTTAAGTTACATCACAAAGATAAGAAAGTCCTAGAAGAATGAATTCTTTTTGATGTCTTATCATAGGACCTTAGAACTCTTTCTTCATTCTTGTAGAGGCATCATCAGTTGAGAGGAACTGTATATTTTTTTGTTTGCTTCCTTCCATTTATTCTTCAGTTTGAAATCTGAACTTCTTGAAACTGAAAGAAACCAAGGGAAATTAGACACGCAGGCTTTGGAAAGAACAATCAAGGTAAAATAAATAAAATACATACAACCTTGTAAAAGGTCTAAATTGAGTTATATATTCTCAAGTGTAAACAGAAAATAATTAAGCAATATCATGTTATTGAAAATTGAAAAGTGGTAGGAGTTGCTTAATTTTTTTCCTTTCTACTACCTTGAATTAATTATTGACTTTGTATAGAGAGATTAAAGATGAGATTGACAAAAAACTTGATAGACATGTTCTCCATAAAGCCCTGAAAATCGACACTGGGTTTACAAAGTTGTGTTTAATACAACTTGTATGCTGGCTTAATGCTTTGTGAGTAGAAGTCATTAGAGAAATGTAATTCAAAATTACTATGATACTACATCAAAACTATTATAACTCTTACCAAAAACACTCAAAGGAACCAGGTGTGGTGGTAAAGGCTTGTAATTCCAATCATTTAAAGGTTGGATTTAAGTCTAAGGCCAGTCTTGGGTACTGCAGATAGTAAAAACCTGCCCTTTATTACCTTTTGAATAAAAGGTAATATTGTTAGTGAGAGTGTGGATAAAAGGAAATTTTCTACAGTCTTGGTCAAAATACAGGTTAGTATTCTGGTTGTAGAAAGTAGTATGCAGATTTCTAAAGAAATCCAAAGTTGAAATATCATCTGACCCACCAATCATGTGATTATTTTTCTCGGGGTAACTCGTAAATCTATCTGTAGTTCATTGTTATTCATATTATTCACAACAGCCAAGATATAAATCAAAGTTCAGTGTTCAAGTACAGAGAAATAAAGCATCTGTGGTACCAGCAAAAATATCTTTTTCTGTTTCATCCTTAAAATAGCAAGAGACTTCTCCCTTTAGCCACAACTTACAATGACCTGGAAGATGTATTCTACATGAACAAAAATGTTGTCTTCTGATTTTTGTAAACACACACACACACACACACACACACACACACACACACACACACACACACACACACAAACCAACATCAAACATTAAGAGAGAAATTCTGAAAAAAAATAAACCAGAGTGTAACTCTTGGGGCATTCAGGTCACAATGTAGAAGATAGTAGATATACAGGATGAACAGGTATAGAGTTGTAATGTACAACATAAGGATACAGGGGACAACACTGGCCTTACATAGAAATGAAGCTAATTAAGTAGGAGTTGTTCTTCCTAGTAGGGGTTGTTATTTTAGTTGTTCTTTCTTAAGTAATGTATAAGATGAATGTAATTCTTTAAATAAACCTGCCTGTTTGCAGAAATAATAGCAAACAATATAGCAAGTATGTTGCATGCTCACCATAGAAGAAAATGTTGAAATAAAATACATGAGATTATCCTTGATGTAAATTGATTATTACAAATAAAGGAAACCATGAGACCTATGTTTCTTTAAATCTGGCTTACTTCAATTAATATGATTTTTTCCAAGTTCTTCCAGTTCCTTAAAAATGAGGTGTTACCTTTCTTTCTGATGAAAGCATAGTACCCCATGTATGTGTAACTGTGTGTGTGTGTGTGTGTGTGTGTGTGTGTGTGTGTGTGTGTGTGTGTCATTTTCTTGACCCATTAATTCACTGAGGGGTATCTGTGTTGATTCCCTATCTTAGATATGGTAAGTTCTACTGTGATAAACGTAATTGTGCTGGTGGCTTTAGTGTGGCTTTTTTTGTGGTCACCTGGTTAAATGCCCAGTAGTGGGATTACTGGATAATAGAGGAGCATTATTGTGTACATCAAGGATAATCTTAGTAGATGAGCAGAATAGCTCAATAGCTATGTATATATGACCGCATAACATGATTCCAAGTGAAATGAACTCCAAGACATGTTCTTTGTTGTTGTTGTTCTTAATGTACTACGTGATTTCTTTTTATCCTTTTGTATCCGCCCCCCCCCCCATGGTTGCCTGAAGTCACTGTAGTTGATTTTGATACTCTGGGTATTGTAAATATGTTGGTCTGAACTGGGGAAGGGAAAGGGGCAAAAACAAAATGGTGAGACAAAAGACAAAGGGGAAACCTATGCAACAGTGATACTCACAAGATAATATGTTGGAAATAATCTTGGGGTGGACTTTGGGATTGAAGAGGGATAAAATTGGGGAAGGGGAAACAAGTTAGAAAAGAAATGAATTCAT